TTTTTTTTTTTTTTTTTTTTTTTTTTTTTTTTTTTTTTTTTTTTTTACCACAGTATTTCCCTCTACTAGTTTCTAAGCTTCAGGTCTTACATTAACAACTTTGATTCATTTGGAGGGTTTTTTTTTTTTGTGCAAGGTGAACAATATGCATCTAGTTTTATTTTTTGACAGATGGAAATTCACTTTCCGAAGCACTGTTTGTTCTCTCCAATGTATGTTTTGAAACATTGTAAAAAAGTCAGGTGGGTGGGCCTATGTGCCGCCTCTCTGGGTCTTCAGTTCCATTGATCTATGGTCTGTTTTTATGTCAGCACCATGCTGTTTTGTTACAGGATCTCTGTAGTATAGCTAGGATTAGGTATTGTGGTGCCTTTAGTACTGCCTTTTCTGTTTAGGAGTGTTTTTTTTTTTTTGGTCTTCTGTGTTTTCATATAAATTTAAAGTTGTGTATTATAGTTTAGTAAAGAATATAATTGGACTTTCGGTGCATATTGCTTCCAGGCTTGCATGGTATGAATTGCTTCCTTCACCAGGCCCTCCTTGCTATGAGGTAATCACACTTCCAAAACTGAGACATGCAAACTCTAGTTGTTTCTGTCAGGTATTTTGATTACTGCAACAGGAAAACTAATGCAGGATAATGGAAGAATTTCTCCAAACACAATGAGGGAATAATATATTTTTTTATGCATTTTCATTTTAAGTGTATTCAAATGAAAACATCAGCTATTTTACTAGAAAAGAGGAAACATTTTCAGACAGTTAAAGGCAAATGGTTTCATGGACTGACAAGTGTAATAAATGTAATTAACATGCTGACAGCTTAGATAGCCATGTTTGTAATGGAATACATATATTTATTGAGATTTTTGTATTTTAAATTTAATTATTTATGCACAGGTGTTTTGCCTGTGTGTCTTGTCTATCTGTGCATTATGTATGTACAGTGCCTGTGGAAGCCATAAGAGGACACCCAATCCTTCAGGTCTGGAGTTTCAGACCTGTGATCCTCATATGGGCTCTAGGAATCAACCCTGGGCCCTGCTTTGGAAGAGCCGTCAGTGTTTAGTTCTCAGCATCCATGTCAGGCAGCTTACAACTTCAGCTCCAGGGGATCCAACACCCTGTCTAGTCTCTGAAGGCACCTACACTCACGTGCACATACTCACACGCACAAACACCAATACATGTACTTAAAAATGAAATAAATAAATAAATAAATAAATAAATAAATAAATAAATGTTAAAGAATTTACTGAAATAAAATGGAACATTTTATGTAATACTTTGCCTATAGTGGGATTACATTGTCATCATGAAAATAGTATAAATATTAATGAAAATATACTCATATCTTAGTACATTTAAGAATATAGATCATTAATTGTATATTCCAAAATTGGCGGAGTTTACCATAAGAGAAACAGCATTTTATATGTAAGTAAGAATTCTGATACCAGCTGTGTGGTGCTGGATAAACTATTTAAATTTATGTGGTCTGTGCCTGATGCTGTGGGCTTGTAATCTCAGGATTGTGTTTTCCCAGGAAGAGAAGAGAGAAAGGTAAAATAGGAAAGCTTTCATAAAGTGTTGGAAGGAATAACCATGATGAACTGCTTTGGAGTAGAGTTTTGTGGTTTCTTAAAATGTTAGCACTGAGTTATATTATAAGTTAGCAATTCCACTACTATTTATTGAATAGAAGTGAGGCACATATCTATATAAAAATGTGAGCATAAATGCTCATAGCACTAAATTTGTTTCAAAAAAAACGAGAACTGAACTGTCTCTCAGCCAGTGAGTGGCTACTCACATGTGAAGTCATGAGGCCATAGGAATGAAGCACTTGTGTGCTGCAACAAGGACACACCCTGACATCGTAAGTCAAAACAGCCTGTAAGCCACACACCCTGTTACCTGTTAGTGTGAAGTGTACAGATAACAACACTGAGAGACAGAAAGGAGATTACTTTGTTAATGCTGATGTATCTTCTTGTCTGTCCTTCCAGACACTCCATATTCTCCCTTTTGTTCTTTCCTCCTTTTTTTTTCCCCAGGGTTAGGATCCTGCCTAGGGTCTGTGCATGTGAGATAAGCCTGCTACCACTGAGCTACAGCCACAGCTCTCCTCTTGCTGAAAATTTAAATTACTTTGAGTATCAGGATATTTGATAGCATCACTATGACTTATTTCTGTTCAGCCTCAGGATATCTGTGGTCCTGTATGCCAACATCAAACAGTACCTTTTTTTTAAAAAAATTATTAGTTACATTTTATTAACTCTGTATCCCAGCTGTATCCCGCTCCCTCATTCCCTCCCAACCCCACCCTCCCTCCCTCATGTCCTCCCTTCCCCTTTCCAAGTCCACTGATTGGGGAGGACCTCCTCCCCTTTCATCTGACCCTGTTTTATCAAGTATCTTCAGGACTGGCTGCAAAGTCCTCCTCTGTGGCCTAACAGGACTGCTCCTCCCTTGGGGGGTGGGGAGGTCAAAGAGCCTGCTATTGAGTTCCTGTCAGAAATAGTCCCTGTTCCCCTTACTATGGGAAACCAATTGGTCACTGAGCTACCACGGGCTACATCCGAGCAGA